GGTAGGCGCAGCACCAAGGGTTGAGATCCCGTTGCCGGTCCCGGTCTGGTACGGGCGCGACACTGAGGGTTGCGGTCCATTGCCAGACACGGAAAAAGACAAAAAGGAAAAAAAAATATATATATATATAAGAGAATAGAAATCATACAATATCTGCTCTCAAACAGTAATGAAATTAAGCTGGAAATCGGTAACAGCTAGAAAACCCCCAAATACTTGGAGATTAAACAACATATTTCTAAATAACCCATGGGTCAAAAAAAGTTCTCAAGAGAAATTTTAAAATATTTTGAACTAAATTGAAAGAAAAATTCAACTTATTAAAATTTGTGGGTTTCAGGTAAAACAGTGCTTACGGGGAAATTTTTAGAATTGAATTCATATGTATTCGAAGAGAGGAAAGATCCAAAATCAATAATTTAAGCTTCCAGCTTAGGAAACTGCAAAATGAAGAGCAGTTTAAATCCAAAGTAAGCAGAAGAAAAGAAATAATAAATATTAGAGCAGATCTTAATAAAATTGAATATTGAATCAGAAAAACAATAGAGAAAATTGATGAAACCCAAAGCCGGTCCTTTGAAAAGGCCAATAAATTTAAACATGTCTACCCAGGTTAACTAAAAAAAGAGAGGACACATCAGAAATAAAAGGCAGGCCATATTATTGATCTTTGGGCAATTTATTGTTAAAAGAATAATAAAGGAATGTTATGGACAACTCTGCTCACAAATTTGTTAGCCAGGATGAAATGGACCAATTCCTTCAAAGACACAATCTACCAAATCACACAAGGAGAAGTAGACAATCTGTATAGGACTGTATCTATTTAAAAAATTGAATGAAAGATTAATAACCTTTCAAAACTGAAAGCCCCAGGCCCATATGATTCACTGGGGAAATCTTCCAACCATTTAAGGAATAAATTATACCAATTCTCTATAATCTATTCCAGAAAATAGAAGCAGAGCAAACACTTCATAATGTATTTTATGAAGCCAGTATTACCCTAAGACCAAACTGCAGAGAAGACATTACAAGAAAGGAAAACTACAGACCAATGTCTCTCATGAATATAGATATAAAATACTCAACAAAATATTAACAAATTGATAGCTGACATAACCCCCAACGCAACAAGCAGAACTTGTTTGGATACTGATGTAAACAAATCAATTGTAAGAAAGAAAGAGGTAGGGGGAGAGAATTGGAGAAATTTAAACATGTTTAATGTTTGGTTACATTATGGAATTATTATTGATTTTTTAAATGTGAATAAAATGTAAAAAAGAAATTAAGTTTAACAATGAGAAGAAAAAATATGCATCACAACTGAGTAGAATTTATTCTAAGTATGCTAGGCTGGTTTAATTTTCAAATATCAATGTAATCCATCGCATCACATGATTATATCAGTAGCGCAGAAAAAGCATTTGTCCAAATCCAACACCCATTACTGATGAAATCCTTCAGTAAACTATAGGTGCATTTCCTCAGCTTGATTAAGAACATCTACAGAACACCTACATTCTTAACGGTGACAAACTAGACACCTTTCCTTTAAGATCAGGAGCATGGTGAGGGATGTCCACTGTCACCACTCCTATTCAGCATTGTCCTGAAGGCTTAGCTAATGCAATAAGACAAGTGAGGAAAACATTAACACCATAAAAGAGAGAGAAATACTTAGGTATAAATCTAAAATAAGTACAAGATATATATGAGTAGAACTATGAAACTTTGGTGGAAGACATCAAAGAAGATATGCATAAATGCAGAGACATTCTATGTAGCTGGATAGGAGTACTCAGTATTTTGAAGATTTCTGTTCTTCCCGTCTCAGTGCATAGATTCAGTATGATTCCAACCACACTCCCAGCAGGTTATTTTGTACATATTAACAAACTAATTCTAAAGTTTGTATGAAAACGTGAAAGACCCAGAACAGCCAACATAATATCGAAGTAGAAGAGCAGAGTCAAAGAATTTTTATACTACTCTCAAGACAGTGTGCTATTGGCAAAAGAACAGACCAATTAATCCATCAAACAGAATAGAGCGCCCAGAAATAGACTCAGACAAATATGGTAAATTCATATTTAACAAAGAAACAAAGGCAATTCAGTGGAGAATTCAGTGAGAAATGAGAATGGGAAATTCAATTGCATGAGAAACTCAGGGAGAAAAAATTCAATGGATAAAAAACAAAACCCAATTTAAAAATGGACAAAAGATCTGAACAGACATGTCACCAAAGAACATATGCATATGGCAAATAAGCATATGAAAAAATATTCAACATTATATGTCATCAGGGAATTGCAAGTTAAAACAAAAATAAGAGACCACTCTATACTTATTGCAATGGCTAAAATCCAACACATGGACAACACCAAATGCTGGTGAGGGGGAGAAGAAAGAAGAACACTTATTCATTGCTGGTGGGACGATTAATTGATACAGCCAACATTGAAGACAGACAGTTTCTTACAAAACTAAATATACTCTTACCATACCATCCAGCAATTTCACTCCTTGGTGTATACCCAAAGGAGTTGAAAATTTATGTCCACAGAGAAACTTGCTCGCTGATGTTTATAGCAGCTTTATTTGTAATTGCCAAAGCTTAGATCTAACCGAGATGTACTTCGTAGGTGAAAGGGTAAACAAACTATGGAGCTTCCATACAAGGGAATGTTATTGATTGATAAAAAGAAATGAGCTATCAAGTCAAGGAAAGACATTGAGGAATCTTAAATGCATATTGCTAAGTGAAAGATGACAATCTAAAAAGGCTACATACTATGTGATTTCAACTACATGACATTCTGGAAAAGTCAAAGCTATGGAGACTTTAAAAAGACCAGTGGATACCAGGAGTAGGATGGGGTTGTGGGGGAGAGAAAGATGAAGAGTTGGAGCACAGGGGATTTTAGGGCAGTGAAACGATTCTATATGAT